TCAAAGCATTAGTCGATTAATCGGTAGGTTAATTGATCAGGTGCCCGGCTCTAATATCAATATATATCTTTCGTAACGTAAAAAGATTTATGTCAAAGGCTGAGCCCGACGGCCGTCTGGACCTTTCCAAGAGAGACATCTTTTCACACATGGAAATTGCTCATGTAGAACTTGTCCCCCTCTCTCCTCCCCCCCCCCCTTAAAAAAGTTGGTGTTTTTTTTGCAGCAGAAGTAGACTGTGTAACGCTGAACCTTATTCTCAGCTCAAATGTAACGCTTGCGGTCTAAACCAGACCCAAAAGTTTCAGAACTCTCCCTTACTTTATGCAAACGTTACGTGATTTTCTGACAATTTAATTGGAAAATAGAGCCAATTTTGTCCTGTTTTCGGTAAGTGGCGCCGTAATGCCCTACTATTCGAGAGCTCGGTCGGCCGCAATTTTACTATCGAAAATTCAAGAAAAGGACATAACTTTTGAATAAAATAAGGTTTAGCGCTTAAACTTTGATATCCGGTCCACACCGCCAGCGTTAGATCTGGGCGAAGAGTGAGCGTCCGGCAATACATAGTTTTTTTTTGCGGCAAAAAATAGCGACAAAAAAGTTATATTTTTGGAGAGACATCTTGTACAATTTCTTTGGCGTTAGCAGAAGCCTTTTTTTATGCCTTCTCGTTGCGAAACACAACCTAGAATATAACAGATATAGAATGGGACCACAATATAGAAATGTCCCAAGTGCAAAAAAATAAAAGCCAGTTCAACTAATCATCTCAGGCTTAGTACATACGCTATCGAAGCTTCTATTAAAATGGATGGCCTATCTTTTACTTTCCTCTCACATTCCGCATATTTTTCCACCACGTCCAGATGCATATTATTTGGCGAAGTCTCGAAGTAATACTGGTCTCGAAGATTCGAAGTCCGATTTCAAAGCCTCCAGCTGCTGTATTCGAAACAAAACATTGTAGAAAAAGCAAAAACTTAGTGTTTGTAAGAAATATCAGATCTATAGTGGAGGACAGGTTAAAAACCCAAGACGCTCCGCTTTCAACGCGCACTTTATGCCTTCCGCCGGGCTCAGGCTGCGCGTGGAACGAAGTGCTATCAAATGTACACCACCATATCAAGCACTTGCCCCCCCCCCCCCCCGCAGTTCTTCGAGGTGGGGGGGGCAAGGCATGTGTTTTGCCCCCCCCCCCCCCCTGTGACAGCCGCCACTGGGCAGGGCAAACACTGGCCGGCGGCGCCCAAGGGAAACCAAGGGTACCGAGGGGGGGGGGGGGGGGGAGGGGAGGTGTCGTCCGGTTTTCCCCCTCACTCAAAAACAAGTTGATACGCCACTGCCGACAGTGACAAGCCTCAAACACATGCAGCATGCTCGCGATGGTACCTTTGGCAGGCGATCAGTCGCTCGGTGCTCGTGAAGTAAGCACGAGTGATTGCAAGCCTGCCGAAGATACCTACGCGTGCATGATGCTCGTGTTTGAGCGTAACCTCCTTCGTTCTACAAAGCCTGTGAAGTCACGAAAGACTCTGGTTTGATAATGGAACAGCGCGAATTTTTGCAAGGACAGGAGAAGGAACTGGACAGGACGAGCGCTGACTAACAACTGAAAGGTTTATTCTCAGGAAACCACGAAGAAAAACACATAACACGACTCTCTAATCACGATGGAAGTGCGCATGCGCCAGTTCCTTAAAAGTTCCTTCTCCTGTCCTTCTCCTGTCCTTGCAAAAATTCGCGCTGTTCCATTATGAATCCATACCAACTCGCCCAGTTATCCTGTTTACTAACTCTGGTTTGAGGCTTGTGGTTGTCGCAATAGACCCTTTCCGAAATTCAGTGCCATCTGGAGGCTGAAATGGCGGTTTAACTTTTGCCATACGAATGGCGGCAATGAACCCGTAGCCTGCAGTATTTTATCGGGCACCGTCACTTTTGCATGTCAACGGCAAACGAGAATAAACTTTTTGCTATACAGGTTTTTCTGGATCATCTCTTCCAGTGTCGATTTACACAACGATGCAACCAGTCAGAACGAAGCGCCAAGTCAAGGGGTTTCGAAGTCGATTTTGTGCCACTAACAGGTTCACTGGGCTCGAATTAGAGAAATGAACACTTACGCAGCGCTTGCATTCGATTCCGGTTTCGCAACGTGCTAACGTCTAGAATGTATAGGCCTCGAATCCTCAGCTTAGAAGTATCTTCAACATGTTCCTTCATCAGTAATTAGAAAGCCGCCATTCGTATGGCACATATACCATTTTTCAGATGGTGATGATAGTGATCAAAGTGGCCAGACTGAATTTCGGAAAGGGTCTATAGTGTCTGTTTTTTGTTTTAGTGGGATGCTTGAATTTTTACTGTGTTAGGTGCACCGCGGCGCTTTTGTGGACCATCAAGGCGTAGACATCATCGTTTTCTTTTATCTTAATGTTTTTCAATATATTCCGCCGAGCAGATTAAAACATATTTTAACATTCAATTAGGCTTTGCGCTTCAGCGCTGAAGATTTTTAGCTACTGTCTATATATTTTGCATGATGTTTTTTTTCTTTTTCGTGCAATTCTCGACTCTTGCAAAGCCGTACGAAGTTACTTATCGAAATTTTGTTAGGGTGTGTTGGTGTTTTAAGAGCTTTCGTTTTCGCGTTTTATATTTTTTAAAAATTGGGGAGAAACAATCGGGTGCTATTCTTATACCTGACAATCCGGGGGAAATCGGGCTTTTTAAGAAGTCATTTTGGAACTTGGGTCATAACGGGTTATATTTAGAGAAACAAATTTGTAATTTAAAGTAAAATTCATTAAAGCGCTTCGGTTTCAGTAAGTGATCATTTGTATCAACACCATAAAAAATTAAGCAATGTGCAGATAATACACAGAAAGAGAGTGTTACAGATTAAGTGATATCTCTTTTCTCTCATTTTTGTTATTGCGTATACATGATGTTTATATGGATGTCTCAAGGCCCGGCTCCGGCACCACTTATAAGCATTTCACCCCCCCCCCCCCCCCCTCCCCCCCGTATTCTCGATCTTTCATTTCCCCACAAATGACCTGAGATCAAGTTGGCGGGAAAACAGTTGAAATACGTTAGAAAAAAACTTGACTGAATTTTCTCTTGAATTAGCGCAGGTCCTTCCTTGTAAGCGCCATATTTTTTAGCTAGGGCAATGGTTCCCAAAAGGGGGTCCGCGGACCCTTTGGGTTCCACGAAGCCAATCTACGGGCACGCGAAGCCTTGCCTCATTAGTCAAGCCCGGCAATAAATGTTGTCCCTTTTCACATTGAGAAGAAACGTTCCAATTTTCGGGTAAAAGTTTGTCGCTGTGTATATCACAATATTAGCCTGTAAATTCAAGCGCAGGGAAAAATGCACCCGCTTTATCTCATAGCAATACATTACATGAAATGCATTTTCAACTTGTTGCTCTCTGCTTCAATTAGTGACACCACACTACCTCCAGCTGAACCTCTAGCGTACATTATAATAACCCAGTGGTGTATAATAACCCAGTCGCGCACGCACTACGTACGTGCGCGACTACTGTAGCCTGTGAAGTACCGCCGGGGGTCGACGTTCACAAAAAGCGGTTGAAGAAGTCGTTATTTATTTCCTCTCAAAGTACTAACGAAGGGAGCAAACACCCACAGATATGGCAGCTAGATCACCTGAGGGTGCTTTTATTAAAAGTTTGTTTGAAAAGAGTAGCATCAGTTGTTGCACAACTGAAGCGGGAAGATGGTGGTAGTCATTTGATGTTCGAAACACTATTAATGTTGAATGGGGGGTATGGAATTCGTATTGTAAGCATTTGCGACTATCGCTTGGTATGCGAACCTTAGAACTGCGATTGAGACAAGCTGAGTGATACGTTTTTATCAGCATGAGTTTCTGGCCGAACAATAGGGGCATCATATGATAATAAAGCTTGTGAAATATAAAAAAGCTAGTATTTTTGTGACGGGAAATTAAATTAGGTAGTGCTAAGAGTTTATTAATGTTAGTTATCTGGTTCGATTAACAACGTGCAACGTCTAGACGGTCCCCTGGTGTTGATCAGTCTTTTAACAATGCTGGATCTGCGCCACCTTTGCGCTGATAGTTTCTAATCGTCGCCCCACAGGGGGACTCGATTCTGGTCTGACATACCGCACCGTCTACTACGCCCCCGCACGCTAAACAGTTGCTTCTAGTTGAACTACATCAATATAACTGTGATATTCAATGTTGTTAAACGGTTGCTTTTGGCAATTTGTTTTTTTATTGTTAAACGGTTGCTTATTGGCAATAAAAGGCAGTCAGGTTTTTGCGAGGCGAGAAAGAACACATGGTAAAACAAGAAGTGCATCCTTGAGACGAGGTTCTACACCTACGAGTCTCATTGCCAGCTCGAAATGTTTTCGTTGTTAGTTCCAAATGTTTCGAGAACAAGCCACTTTATGATTGTGCTTACAAGCTGACAACATAGCGTACAATCGAGCACGGGCTTGTTTTTAGCATCAGAAAGTAAGGAAAGCGTAAGTCACAAGCAAAAACACCAGAAATGGCACTGGCCTAAAGCTTTTATTAAAACGTTGTATGTGCAAAAAGCATCTTCAAGTCATCGATCTTTTTTTCCTTTCACGATTTGTATAAGTCGAACACGGAGAACTGCCCATCAATTTTTGAAACTTGGCTTCACATCTTGATCATATGAAACCTACTCCACATTGAAACGATACCCGACGTTGATTGAACGTTCAACAAATGAAGGCAGTTAAGAACATGTTCACTCTTTCACAACCACAAAGACTTTCGCAAAACAAAAGCCCACGTAGTAACGAAATACCACAGATGATAAAAAATGCGGCAGCTTGCTTTTTCTCATGACCAGAAATATGCTACCTGGTTGATTCGAACAAACCTGGTACAGAGTAGCAAAACTTAGGCTATTAATGGTTTGGGGTTATGCTGCTTCTCATCGGGAGTAATCAAGTAACAATTACCCTTACCTGTGTTGTTGGGATTATAGAAGAAATGGTTCGCATGAAGTGGCCTTGCTGCAACTGTTTGAAGAGTAAAAAAACAGAGGCACAAACACAGCCCGAACATCGCGACTTGAGCCTCTTATCAGATTGTAAACCGGTTGTTAGGGCCTCGGCGCGGTAAAAGGACACCAAATTGTCGGAAATGTCGGGAGGAGGGAGCAGCTTCGTATCTCTGCCACGTGTTAACAGCTCGGTATTGGAGGACGTAGGTGATAGGTGTCCTTTTATTCGTGATTGATACCAATGAGCTGCACGCAGGTCGTTATCACAGAGGCGACAAGGAGGCAGATGTTTATCGGTATGGCATTTCGCCTCTTCAATACAAAGGGTACTAAGGACCCATACGGCTCTAACAAAAGGAGATAGTGAACTAGGAAAGGTAATACGTCAATCAATTTGACTCGCAGCCGCACGGCCCCGCTTTAAGGCGCAAAGGCCATTCCAAGTAACACCAAGATGTACACCATACGTCTTGTAAACATATATTTAAGACATCGGCGACGCGTTTACTACGTCATAAGTAACATGTGTATTATACAAATACGTATTTAATGTGAATAGCATATTAGGTTAAGGTTACACTTAAAAGCCTCTACAGGACGCCTTGTGAAACATACACCGAACGCCTTTAACACTCTATTGTAAACCTCTTCAATGATGTATAGTAGATGACATTAGAAACATACGCTAGACGGCTTCAGTAACGTATGGTAGACCTTTCAGAGACATCGTGAGGAATATCTTAAACTCAATGTAAACCGAATAGTTTGTCTCTGAAACACAAACTATTTATTAGCCCCTCTTTCATTTCTTCACGCATCGATCACAGTTTTAAAGTTGGCATACCTCATTGTGTAAATGTGAAACTTCAGCTTACATCGACTCTTTCATCCCCATAACGTAATCTAAATGGAACCACCACCTCACATCATTAGTAACTATTCCATCAATTGTTTTATTTATGAAAACACTAACTGCTCACTTTTGCTAATATTACGCCGGGCCAACATTTATAAGCAAGTAGCCTTGTTTGTTTGAACCTTTTACTTGATCAATATTGTATGGCCACCCCCTCTGTAATGTGAATACAGAGGGGTGGCCATACAAAATACAAATACCCCTGTGCCATGAGGGTATTTAAATAAATAAATAAATGTCAACTATTATGTGTTACGTTATCAAACTAGCGTATATTACAGTCCTGCAGCCATGCACCACAGCGAGTATGTGTACATGGCTCTCTTGCATTCACGCGCGCAAGTAGTTTCTACAACGTCAGAGCACTGCGGAGGCCACGACAGCCTTGACAGTGTAGCACAGAATAGTTGACGCCTTGCACAGAAAGTAAGAAGGCCCTTACCATAAACAAATGTTAGTTTCGATTAGCAACTTCAGACCGAGGCAAGCATCTCCACATTTAAACATGTCTTGTCACACCATTGTTGTGGGTTACAGCGTAGCGCCTTCTGGAACTGATTATTGCAGTTTCTAAAAACAAGTATGTTTAGTTCATGTGTTTCATGTTATACTTGTCAGCTCTAAATCCTATTATAAACATGTCTGAACCCACGATGCTAACTTCACATTCCTATAACAGATACCACAACACAAAGTCAGCAAGCAGGCTATGAATTGGCAGGGGTTCTGAAGGTTCGTAAACAATAAAAGTTTGAAAAAGCAGAAAATCTGGTGACTCCTATATTTTAACCCGTTAACGGGTTAAAATATTAACGGGTTAAATTAATAACGTTGCAATACTCGCACAGTAAAAGAGACGGTATCTTTTTTTTTTTTACTCTTCTCGGGTTGAAGTATGACAGCAAACAATGTACTGTACTGCAGGCGAACGTAATGACTGCCCATGTCCAGAACACATCATTCAGTTGTTTCATCATCCATTTCACAATTTCGTGACTGCTTGCTTCTTCTCAGATTGCTGAAAACAGCTAAAGACAAGAATGCCTACGTTTCGGCAAGATCGTGTCTTGCCTGAGTCCCCAGTCCAACAGTCATTATAACTTGTTCACTAGCATGAAAACAGCAACGAGAAGACGCCATTTTGAGGTCACTGATGAGCTGGAGGCAGCTGTCCTGGCGTGGGTGCGAGGCATTGCAAAAAGTGGTTTCATCAGGGCATCGGAAGGAGGCCAGACAGGAGGTGCGAAACCATTTTGCTCCAACGTGAGTCTGTCGAAAATGTGGGCACATGCACCGCCCTTTATGTGACCGGTTCCTGCAGCAAGAAATTATTTCTAAATCAATATAATACGCCCCTCGTACAACGCTTAAAGTGTGTGCATGTAAACCTGAGGTCCCCGAGTGTTCCTGCCGCGATGTTCGACTTACTAATGATTAACATCGCTGAAGGTGGCAACGTGTCACCCAGGCAGAAGACAGCTGACGGTGTGTGTGTGTGTGTGGGGGGGGGGGGGGGGGGGGAGGCGGACGGTGCGCGCGTAGCATCGGAGGGGGGATTTTCTTGTTGACTTCCATGAGCTCCGAAAGGCGTGCACCATGGTTTTCATAACCTCCACCGCGCGGCTGGAGACTACGAAATAGAATTACAATTACAAAGACGCACAATATAAAAATACAAGCTGCAAATTATTTCCACATTCAAATTGTTGAATGTTCCCTTTAAGGGTTCTTACTCCAGTTTTCCACTTTGTGTCAGGGTTAGACATGTTGACATGGTGGCAAAACGCCACAGTGAACAGCTTCTCATCTTGAATTCTTGACTTTCTGGTTGGCTTGAGCCAGGCATATTAGAATAACTACAATCAGCTGCATTCGAAGCAATATCTTATGAACCAGGAGCACATAGCTAAAATGTGTTCGTCCTCAACTGCATGAATAACTTTCATTAACTCCGAGAGACAAATATCAAATACATGAACATACCGGTCCTGCTGTGAATCATGTTCCTCTTTCTTGTGGAACAGATGTTGAAGAAGGAGGATACTTTTCCGCTATTGCGAGGTACAAAAATGGTTAAAATACTTAAATCAATGAAGATTGAGAGGTTTCTAATGTCGTTGCCGATTTTCACCGATAGGTTTCCTGACAAAACCTACAAAAAGTGACGCATAGTGATGTAAACATCAGCCAGCTATGAGTGATACCGAGGCTCGCAATACAGATGAGCTGATCTTCCTACAAGCTTGAACGTCCTAACCAATTGGTCTATAGCCTGTAGCGAACAAAGTAACCTGCAAAACATTGCGGCAATATGCGCCGAGGGTTACATGAAGGGCGGAAAAAATGATGCACGGCGTGCCTTAGGAATGCTAGACCATTAAAGTTTCCACAGTGCTGTAGGTTCCATAGCATTTCATGGCGGTTGGAATAGACATGGTAGTCGATTGCAACTTTTCTTTTAACAGCTTTACACATTCACGATTCTAGCACGGCACTTTTACTGTACCAGCTCATAATGTGGCTGTACAGCTCATATTGCTGGACCCAGAGCTTGAGATGTACCTTGAACGAGATATGTACAAGTTGCTCAAAAAATTATTTAAGTTAAGTCACTGAGTATTGGCCTCAAAAGTAACTTAAGTAGAGTAGAAAATTACTCAAATGGAAAGTAATTGAGTAAGTTTCTAACTACGGCAACAAACTATCCAATTACTTTTAAAGTTATTTTTATATTTTTAGAGTAACAAGAAAGTACGCAAATGTTTTGATAGCCTGCGCAGTTCTGTTAGCCAAATATAAAGCGGCTTGTGTTTTCACATAAATGCTTTAATAGCTGGTTTTACTTCTGCGTGATTAACGTTTTTTTTTTAATTTTTGTTCTCTGGTTAATGATTTACTGTGGTAGTATCATTTCTCCTTTGAGGTTTAGCACTGCCTCAACTTGATCATGAAGACAGTGTTTGCTTGTTTACAGTGTTGCGTAAAGTACTATCGGGGAAAAATGAAATGACAACAGAGGAACGCGTGGCTCGCGGTACATGCTACGCCGCCTAGAAGTGAGCCTCGGGGCAAGGGTGCGTGGCCTACTCCGATGTGTTTACAACCTTCGCTTGGCGCTCCCCAAGCTTCGGCAGTGCGCGTCTTCGTGCGCTCAAAGCTATCAACGCTCAGAGCCGTATATTGGGAGAGTTTGGCCAATGGGCGGATCAAAGGCCGCCGCCAGCGCCGAATACTGGCCCAGCGGTTAGAGAGTAAACTAAAAGGGCGACTCAGTGTAAACCAGTCAGGAGACCGCGACGTCACAATAATAAAAACGACATTTAAAGAGTGAAATAAAAGCATTCAATCTCGGCGTCTCTGTGACAGTTTGCTCTGGGCCGGCTTACTAGAACTGAGTCTCAGCTGAGACTGGCTGAAATAAAACAGTGCAAAGACTGGAGCGCGCAGCCGTCTAGAGACGCGGCTTGAGTCTCGCTCATGTGGTACGCTGGCATTGGCAGTGCTTTATTTCCCCCAGTCTCAGCTGACACTATTTCTCTAGCATGCCAGCCCTGGTTTCAAGCGCGCGTTCGTTTATTCTACCGTTGAAAATGGACGTGACGAAAACCTCACATATGCCAAGTTTTCGGTCACCCAAAAGTTATACCTTTTTACTCGAGCGACGCTAAAACGGCTTAAATTAGTCGAGTCGCATTTTTATAGCTCATGATCATCGCTAGGGGCTGTTTAGCGGCCTCTGGTTGGCCCCGAAATACTCGCCTATTTCAACCAATATATGGCCAGACTCTCCCAATACACGGCTCTGTCACCGCTATCTTTGCTGGCTCGGCACGTGCGGCGCGAGGAAGCTCGCCGCTATACTCTGTTTCACCTTAGGATGTACCGGAGGAAAGGCTACAAGCGCGAGCTCTTTGCTCTGGGGCGCATATCGGCGGCACAAGGTTTCGTGACTTAAGAGCGGCTGTCCACGCTATGAGCTCGCGCTTCTAGCCTTTGCTGCGGTACAACCACCGTGGGTTCAACATAAAGTGAAACGAAGTATAGTAGCAGCTAAAGCGCGCGCTTTCGCTGCTACTGGCGGCGAGCTTCCTCACGCCGCAGCGCCGAGCGAGCAAAAATAGCAGTGATAGCTCTCAGAGCACTAAGAGGGCTCACTTTCAGGCGGCGCAGCCTGTACCGCCAGCCACGGGCTCCTTTGTTTGCATTTCATTTTCCCCCGATAGTACATCTAAAAAGTACATGAAGTAAATTACAAAATCAATTAGGAGTTATGCATTTCAAGTTTAGTAAGTACATTGG